TACGGTATCGGTTCCAGTATCAGAGACGCATTATTCAACGACCCTGACAAGGAAAGACCACTTCGACTTCCTTAAAGACACCGGCTATTACCAATCTACGTAGAACCTAGAAACACTGGAATAAGAGACCAGCGGAGAAAAGAAACATGAATTTGGCAACAAGATCATGAGTGATTGTTAAACGATTTTAATATTCCTCCCTAATTTAATCAAACCATTTCAGGGTATAACTCGAAACGTAAACAATGACTTTGAACGTCGATTTCTCTAGAATGACCACACACCCACGGAATCTGATTACACTAGCTCATAGAACAAACATTTCTCTGTCAGATGATTTAGTTAGTTTGAGTGGGTATGGAGTCATTCGTAAGAGACCGACGATACAAGTCATTGTTTACATTTCGAGTTAGACCCTTCTGACATGTTTCCCCTGATTTGTAAACATTGCAGATTGGAACCGCTTTTGACAGTTCGATTGGAATCATAACAGTGTCTCCTCTGGTCACGACAACGGACGAACGACGGCACTTGGCCTACACTAGAAACACTGGAATAATAGACCAGCGGATACACTGTTATGATTCCAATCGAACTGTCAAAAGCTGTTCCAATCTGCAATGTTTACAAATGGTTTGCTTCAATTAGGGAGGAGTATTAAAATCGTTTAACAATCACTCATGAACTCGCTCGTCTGTGCACGGACGAAGTCACTAGCAAGCAGTTACAAATGCAAGTGATGCCAGGATTGCTTTGATGTTAATCTTGTGGCCAAATTCATGTTTTTTTTCTCCGCTGGTCTCTTATTGCTGTGTTTCTAGCCTACACCAGCTCTCTAAATGACAAACGGAAGAACGACGACGACAACTCCGCAGGCTACGGACATTGGCTCTCTTGGAAATTAATCACAACTTCGTTCACTTCTCTTACTCCAACAACAGTCGTCATAGAACTCTGATATCCTTAAACTCTGTAACAAACACTATGTTTTTTTTTTTTCAGGAACCCCCTCAGGAGTCCATTCCCTTCAAAGAGACGAACCAGGGCTGAAAGTCTCTATAATAAAGCAAAAGAAGAAAAAAGAAGAGCTGTAGTCAGCCCAGTGACAAGGCCTATACCAACAGCAGCGTTTGACAGTAGGCAGCATGTTCCGGGCTTAAATCGTTTATTTTGCTGTGCTGGGCCCGCTGTCATAGTATAACATGTTGCCAACGCGCCTGACACTGGGCTGGCTGAAGTGCAATGGAGTGTGTATAGAATGCAAACGTTGTGCTAGAATGGTCGATTTCGAAGCGTTTGATTCCTCCATAGTGCGTCTGGTTGAAAAGATATTGGTAATTACTATTAATATTAGTATCTTCGAAATGGCAAATGGAAACATCAAGGGAACTTCCAGCTTTATGAACGACGTCGTAGTCGGTTGCTAAAACGATCAGGAGAATAATCAAAACCAGTAAGTGGTTCTACAGTGATGAGAAGTTTAAGATGAATATGCGGATCTTGCGTTATCCGGCTGGCAGCCGACTCATGCCAGAAGCAAAGTTCGAGTTGTACAAGGAGTATCTTCTTCTTCTTCTTTCCTTTATTTAACGTCGGTCTCTGTTCCGCAATCTAGTGTCAATAACACGGGGGCAACAATCAGGAATTTCGGCGGAGCTCACATCAATGTGATGAATATAGTGGGTGAGGATGACTGCAACAGGCTGCTCTTTCTAGCATTCAGCACTGCGATGCAAGTTTGAAAGAGTAAGCTGTTTTGTTCTGTCGTACCTCCGTCAGTTTTACCAACAATCAATACGAAACTAACGATTTTAAATTGGCTCACTACTTGACTAGCCTATTGTTACCAAGCAAACAATTAACGTACCCCATTCTAGTTAAAATTCTAGTACTACACAATGTTTGTTTTGATTCGCTATGAAAGTTTGACAGATAAAATGAGGGGTTAGTGGAGGTGAATCGATTAGCTTGGGACCGAAGAGAGTACCAGAGCTGAGCCAAAAAGTTGAGCACGTTTCTTCGGGACCTTCTAGTATTAGAGTTACCTCTATGGTTTTACCCACAAACGAAGGGACAGACGGAGCGGCTCGAAAACTTTGGTGACTAACCTGCTATTGCAATTTTTCAGTGTACCACATGGCAACACCACTACTACTGGATTGTACCACATGGCAACACTACTACTAGATTGAACTAGCATTTTCACCAAATGTACTAGAATGTTTTGGTTCTTTCTCTTTCACTCTACTCAAAACTGAAATGCATAAAAAAATAACAAAATGATACGCACTCTTTGCACACTGTCAAAGAATCATTGTTCAACTTTGTTCAAATTAAAACAAAAAAACTAACCCATCTGGTGGATGATGGCACAAGCTTCCAAGAAAATTCTATTACAGTGAACCACATTATTTAAATGGATTTCTTCGCCAGTTAGTCGTCTGTCACTTCGTTTGTGGTTTTACCGCTGTCCAAAAGTGTCAGATTATCAAAAAATGTCAAAATTGTGTGAGCTATGGTGCATCTATATGTGGTGGACAGGGATAGGTTCCCCATGGCCAATCACTGACGGACATCGATTGCCATCCATTGACGGCAACTGAATGTGCAGGAAGGCAGCTTCCACACCTGCGTAGGGTATTGCACACATTCAACACTATAGTCGCTATATTCATAGTCTGGCGGATAGAATTTCAATCTATCAAAAAGCGGAACCAAGTCAATATATTGTAGACCAACAATTGAAAAGGTCCTATCAACTTTCATAAACAAAACGTTGATTATTCTTTCCTCGACAATCGATCCCAAATTATCGGCATCATCGGATAGGGGAATCTTTCCCCAACCCAAAGATAGTGTTAGTTTGCGTAGGCGAGCCTTGAATCACGAGAAAACGGTTTTCGAAGTTTTGTTCGCAATAGCTGATGTGCTCTTTTCTGTTGCTGGTCGTGATTTGCTCGATTGGTTCCGCTATTTGACAGCTCAATTGGTTCCCGAGGCTCTATCCACCAGACTATGAATATAGCGACTATAATTCAACACACATGAGCCGGGACCAACGGCTTTACTTCCCTTCCGAAGGAAGACGTGACCAGAGATTTTTATGCCTCAGAAAAATCCCTCCGACTTCGGCTGGGATTGAACCCAGACCCATTGGGGTGAGAATGCAGTCACGCTAATCACTACATCACCGGCGCCAGCACAAGGAGTGTCAGTAAGCAATCGACAGCTTCAAGCGAATCCTTTCTTCTGATCTGCTTCTCACCCACTACAATCCAAAACTGAAGATTATTGTGTATGCTGATGTTTATTTATGATATTTATCCAGTGGTCTCGGAGCAACAACGATAAACCAATTCCAGACAGCTCTGTGAAAGTGGTCCAGCATGCTTCAAGAGCACTCACCAAGGCGGGACAGAATTCCAGTCAGGAGATCGCGAAGGTCTGACTATTATATTTGAAAATTTAACAAAGTGCTTCGGTCTACCTACGAACTGCTTCGGATCCAAGATACTTATAACTCTGCTGCTATATGACTTCGAGATTGAGTACGTCACGACCAGAAAGCTCGGTAATGCTGATGTCCTATCACGTGCCATCGACCAGTACGCGAAGCCAGAGGAAGAATGCTCGCCAGTATTCATTCAGTCAACACTTTTCCTTTCAATTTCAGAGGGTGGCCACAAACACAACTCTTGTAGCCGACACTCAAGCCAGGCAAAAGCCGCTCAGTCTAGTTGATGGTTGTATCACCGACAAACCAACATGACACTTAGTTCTGACTTATGCCCGAAAATCGTAAACGGCCGATTTAAATCTGCAGTGATCCGAACTGTTAAAACCATCCAAATTTTTGATCTAGATAAAAAATAATGCCTCCAGAATTGATCAGACACGAACCAATAATAAATAGCTAAATATTTCTCGCGAACACGGAGCGAGATGTCAGAAGTGTGCTTTGGTCAGAAATTTTATTGTTTTTGCTATGGTCATTCATGTCGGTTTGTCGGTGGTTGTATCCTGTTCGGAGAACGACCCGTGAGTCCATCGCAGTACCAAAAGCAGTGCTTGAACCAACTATATCTTGGACATCCCGGTATCCAAAGGATGAAGGCACTCTCCAGCAAGCATGGGAAAAATCGTTTCATTTTGCATTTAATAGGGTAGAGCACTACTTCGTCGTAATCGCCTATTTCCGTTCTATCGATCAGAAAAGATCAATAATATCAATGATTTCACCGTGCAAAAAACAATAATAGGTTTGTTCCTATGCGTTAGTTCATTAGCTACAACATAAATCCTATTAGAGCGCATTGTATGAACATTTACGCTCATTGTTCTCAAAACAAAAGAAGCGCTCCTAGCGAATCCCCTTTTTCTCCGTTTATCCGTAGGACGAAGAAAATCTAATGGCGTTTCAATGCATTAGGACGGAATTGAAACTCGTAGAACGAATTTAGAATCAATAAGCAGTATTAGATTTTAAACAATATCTCAACAATTTGTGACTCTTTATCAAATCCAACGTATGGAAAGGTGACATTTCTCGATTTTCACTTTGCCTGATAAAAGTGCTTTTAAGTCGGCTCGTTCCCAATATGTTCCTGTTTTTTTTCAAGGAAATCCACCAGATTCCTCCTGAAGTCCCTTGTACCAGTAGATTTTTTTTCAGATCCCTTCATATGCTTCACAGCCGGTACATTACAGAACTCAACACTTATTTTCAAAATGCCCGTGTGGGCCTACCAGAAGACAGTTTACAACCAGCGCGTACCAGCGCATATTCAAAAACAACGATAATAAAACAATCAGACTTTCAACGCGACGGAACAGAAACGTAATAGGTATTTTCTGGACACGAAATTATAAACAAAGTACCTTCCGTGTAAGTGTTTATTTACACAGAAACCCAAAAAAAAAAAAAAAAAGAACGATCAACCGAGGTGCTATATGATTATCTCGTTCGCATTTGCCGGAATCTGATTGGTACTTAGCCTTACCAATCCAACTCACATCTCTATAGCTTCTGCTGCAATAATAAAACAAAATAAACGGAAACCCATCCGTGTACTCTCACACACTCACTCGCTAAGGTAGGCAAATCATTGCATTCCAGTGCAATTCGCTAAAGTTAGGTTTAATCTCCTCCCAACGTCCTCCCAACACACACGAGGCCAGTTTTCGTGAGATGCTCTCCCCCGCGTATCTTTTAATGCAAACTTACCATGTCCATAAATATTCGAGCCGGGATACAACAAGCAGTTGCAGCAGCGGAATTAACGCCAAGTAAAATCTCTACGTTACACTTTTAAGTCTACTTACTTACAAAGTAGATGGTGATGGCGCGATATGCCTTGTTTGACTACTACGCGTTTGCTTTAAACCGTATGTGCATGTAGCAGCGCAGCAGCATTGTGCGACAGCAGAGATACGGGTTAAGCTGTTCCCATAAAACGGGCGTCTACTCCTCCGTGAATGGATGTTCCGATGTGTCGCTTATGTTTTTCCGTCGGTTCTCGAGGATTTTGGTGGCTTGCTCGAGACTCTCCACGTAGTACAGCCCGCTGAAGTCCTCGTGAGTGGAGTATTTGTCTTCGTCGAAGCCGAACGTCAGTCCCAGGATGATGTTGAAGGCAGACGTGTCGTAGCCGTGACAGCCCGAGTAGCGATACTGGGGTTTTTTGTTGTACTTGCACCCGGCCGATTGAGCACCTGTGAGAAACGGATGTAATCGTTGTGAGAATTACTCATTATTTGAACTGTGCCGTTATTTATGACCCTTGCAGAAGATAACAACTGTGCGAAACCTCTCTATAAATCTTATACCCACCGATAGGATGTAGACATTCGGGCGTTAGCATGCACCTCACCCAGGGTAGCATTATCTTATCGTTCACCGTCGGAGTGCTGACAAAGAAGACGAAATCCAGCGAAACCATCGGCAGGAACTGGAAGTTGTCCGAGTCGGTGTCAAAATAGTCGAACATTTTCGGATGTGTGCGACTGGTTACCGCTTGCTGGGTGGTCCAACCCATTACCCCGCTGCTATTCTCAGTCTTGACCCGTATGTCTGTGACTTCCTTGCCACTGCCCCGCAGTCGGACACTGTTCTCGGTGAACAGGATGCTTCGCGCCCGAGCAAGCGCATCGTGGATGATAATCGGCCGAAAGGCGTGCATGTTTTCATCCGTAACGTACGACGGCAGCGAGCTCAGATCATAGGTTATTACGATGCAACGAGAACTGTTGCAAAATGCCTGCAGCGTGTGCAGGTCACTCTCGGATAAACCCAGATCGTAGATCAGCAGCTGATTATTGGGTAGTTTGGTGGCAATGTTTTGTGCGTACAGGATCGTAGATGCCACCTCGCCGGATTGGGTATACGTCACGACGGAAAAATTGGAACGCGTTCCATTGTACAGGGAGTGAGTGAAGCCCAGCTGAGCCAGGTACTTCGGATCCATCTCCGGGTGTTGTTCATTGGCATCTCTCAAGTTGTTCTGCAAGGCGTTAAAAAGTTTAAAGGGAGAATCTATTTCGATGTTCGAGTTTGACAACCTACATGGCTTACCTGCAAATTCCGCAGCTGTTCGTGCGTCTGCGAGACAATGTTCTTAATCGAATCATTTTGCTGCCCGGCTGGCCCGAACAGTATGAACAGCAAGCTGGTTCCAATCACGGCGAACAGTAGCAGTAGGAAATGTTTTGTTCTCATGGCTGTTTGACTTATTTTCTAGATAAAGCTGAGATTAAGAAACTTTGCCGGTCGTGTAATGCTTGCTTGCTTAATAGTAAGTAGTGTTACTCGTATCCTTCCTAAGTGTTCCTATATTTTCTGCGAATCGTTACTTCCTAGTGGTTCCCGTTTTTCTTTAGTTTCGTTCGTTTTGTAAGAGAAGTGGTCAAATCCTTCCTTTCAGTTCGACTAATCCTGTGGAGCAGAAGAGTTGTTTTGTGTTCTGCGAGTAGTGAGGAATGTAGTTTCTTCTTTTGTGGTGGCTTATCACGGTTGGACCTTTGATCACACTAAAGCAGCACAACCGCCAGATCGGTTGCGTACAAGCTACGATCAAAGGTGACTAATATCTGGAAAGATAAGGAAACATGAGAATGTGTTATTGTTTATTAGCGCTTGTTGTGTAAGAAACCTGGGTGGGCCCATGAAGCAGTGTTGGTTTATGAGTAATAACGAATGGATTTTCAAATTGTATTACCAATGGAAAAGTACCTACGGATGTGTTAGGTGAATCTATGGCAGGAAACCAAGCAATCATTATGCATACTGCCGTTTCGCATGTCGGTCCTTTAGTCGTTTTTGTCAAAAAGTTCGAAAAGACAGTTAAATTGCTTGTCACATCAGAAAGAAGCAATGGCGGTAGTATATCCATAAGGATGAAGACAATTTTGCAATTGCTGCAAAATAGCGTTCAAATGGTTCCAAATCGAAACCTGATCGCCCTTCCTGCGTTTTGATCAGTGAGCATCGTTGTGCCTGGTAGGTCGAGGCACATTTCAAGTATGAGAAAGTGATTGCAGTTTGCTCAAAAGTGCTGATACTTTCGATGATTACCCGTAGTTTCGATAGTGAAGATGTATGCTTATATTCTCGATTATGTTCGGGCGTGTTTACCATACAAAAAGCTTTTTATTTGACTTTGTGTGATGGATGAGTTTCGGGTACGGTCGGGCATATGGGTGATAATATTAAGTTTACATTAGGATAAAGTTGAAACATTGATAAATGTATCGCTTCAGTTTGAGAAGTACTTCACTTCGTAACCGATGAACCTTTCTGATGGCCCACATTATCGTGCAGGTGCCGTGAGTTGGCAGGGTCCAATATGGGTTAGCTTGATGTTTATAAAATACTATCAGCTAAAACTGTATTTTTGAGCTTTATCTCTATACATTCCTGGTTGTTTCCCAGCATATAAACATGTTGGTGTTCGCTGATTCAAAGAGTTAATGGGATGAACATTGAGCTGTCTATAGTTGGGCGTTGCTGAACTTCTATGGGGCTGTTCATAAACTACGTAGACAGTTTAGGGGGGGGGGGGGTTGACAATTATCCACGGCCCATACAAATTTTAATTTTTTTGTATGGACAATTGTCTACGCAGGGGGAGGGGGGGGGTCAAGAATCCCAAAAAACTGTCTACGTAGTTTATGAACAGCCCCTATGTGCTTTACCTATAGGTTAGGCAGTGCCTCTTACGAATGTATTAGTAAGCGGGGTAAACTTTATGGGTGGTAGTGTGGTCCCGTGCATCCGAAGCTTCAGGCACCGGAGACAATAAAGTTGCGACGTCACAATCACGATTTTTGTTCGGAGAGTTGGTTCTTGTGTCGTCACCACTTTTCATCTCCGAAAATGTTTCGTAGTATTGTTCTCAAACACAAACAAACACTATCATGTGCCACTCCTGTATGTATATCTCATTGGCTGAACTTGTGGTGCTTGCAAAACATTTTATGTGAGTACCCAAGTAACCATATGATAACAAAATAACTTTAAATGTAGGTTCAGAGTGAGACGATGGGATATCTCATGAACTGTTGTTTAAAGACATAGTATTCTTAAACCATGCATAAAGTGCTTATGTTTTACGAAAAATAGAGCTGTGAAAAAACATTTCCTCCAAAAAGTAGGTGAAAATGGGATAAAATGGTCCAAAACACATACCTACAAGGCTCTCCGGTCTATGGGACCACGTGCAATCGATTCCTCGGACAATTTCCCTTCGGAAAAGTTGTTTTTCATGGCCGGAATTCAGGCGTGCTGTTGAGATATTGAATTTTGGGTAATTTTGGACCCATTTTTGCCCATAGTGCGATGCCTTGTTGGTGTATGGTCTCATTTGGATTGGTCCTGAATTTGTTTGATATCCTGTTCGAAGTAATTCTAGTCCTTCTCCTTAGTCCATTGAAATCACATTATTTCTTTGAGTTCCAGCTCCATATGATTCGCCAAGATAATGGGTTAAAAGGGATTAAAGCATACATAAAGGTAGATTAGTATTAGTTGTACTTGATCCAAACAATATAAAGAAGCATAGATACATAAGTTGGAAAATAAAACTAATATATAACTAAAAGTGCAATGGATGAGTGTTAGTTCCGGGATCGTTTTAGTGTTAGGAGTTATGTTAGTTTTGATCCGTATTCAGCCCTGCCAGCACTATTGGCAGAAATTGTGATTTGATTATGCGACACTGCTACTACTACTATGTTAGATGTATGACTTGTCAATTTTCGTTAGAGAAGAATACTGTTTTCTAACGCAACGCAATGTCTTTCAATATATCACTCAATCAATTTGATTTTTGGAAATTTGCTCAAAAGGGTTTAGTTGACACATCATACCTTACCGAAAACTAAAGCACAACAATTCTAATTCTTATTTCAAACCTATCAACATATTTAACACACCTTTCCTAAAACTTCACTTATTTGTAAGCGCCTGATTGAAGATATGACTGCTATTGACATTGCCTGTAATTAACAAATATACTAAATAGAAAGATTTATTATACAACTCTAAATGCTAGTTGCCTCCCTAAGCGGACCCCCCGCGTCCTATCTCTTATGTTAATTAACTTTCTGAATTCTCTAATTGAAGTTCATTTGTTGATTATTTAATAAATACTGAAATCTCTAATCTACCTACACAATCATAACCCATGCTTTTAAGCAAAAATTTCAAGTACTTCTGGCTTTGACATATATTAATTATATCTTTGTTCGTCCCAGAGGACACCTTCAAGTGACTAAAATGCTTCACTTTGAAGTTAGTTTCCAAGCTAATTTTAAATTGTATAGGGTAAATCTCACATTTCCACTATGTGGCACCAAAAAAATACATATGGGTAAGTCACAATAGAAGCACACCACAGTGGAAATCCCGAGTCATAGTTGAAACACTTATCTCAAATCAAAATGAAGCACATATAAGATTAGTTACAATCTTCTTCTTCTTCTTCTTCTTCGCATTTCAAGCTTATTGCACATCGCATATTAGCTTATTGCGTGCTCTCAACTTAGTGTTCTAGATGCACTTCCACAGTTATTAATTGAGAGCTTTCGATGCCTGTACCATTTTTGCATTGGTATAATTGTGTGGCAAGTCCAATCATACTTCTATGCCCAGGGAAGTCGAGAAATTTTCTTATCCGAAAAATTCCTAGACCGGACCGGGAATTGAACGCAGCCACCTCCAGCATGATCTTGCTTTGTAGCTGCGTCTTTACCGACTGAGCTAAGGGAGGCCCCTTAGTTACAAAACCATGTACAAAAATGGTGTTTAACATTGTTCCCTGAGTAATACCTCAATGAAAACAACAATGAAAGCTTGTCACGCAAGTAGAAGGAGCACTGTTGGGCACTTTCTGAAATATTTCAATAGTATAATTCCCTTGCAAACCCAAATAAATCTATCTGCGTAAAAAAAATAAGAGTGATTTGCGGCAAAACCCGCCAGTATCGCACCCAACGTCAGTGCCTATACGTAAGCGTACTACGACGCGGCTCTCAATCAAAGGAGTAACAAGTGTGATACTATCACTGCTAGACTAGATCCTTGGTTCTCTCATGCAGTGGTTTATCAGAGAGGGGAAGCTTAGTAATCCCCATTGCCTGCCCATGGCGCCATTCTATCGCGGCATGAGCCAGCAACGCCGGCCATAAACCTACCGTCTCCAACACTCCACTAAAAAGCATGAAATTAAGCCCGCCCACCAACAGCAAGGTGCAAAAACTAGCCAAGGGGAGGGATTGCTCTTCTATCATTGTATGTGATGCAAAAACATCCATCCAAATTTACTTTCATTTATTTAAGATAATCATAGGTAAAAAAAATGTCCAATGTACAGTTTGAAATGATGGGTACATGTTTGTTACTTCAGTCATTCGGACTGCCAAACATGATTGGTGCTCATTTGCTAAAGGCGGGGCTAATCTAAAGTTAGGTACTCTACTATGACATCTGTGAAAGGGAATCTAGTATCATGTAGAACAAATCTTTCAATGTAACACTAATTGATTATGCCATTGAGAAAAATCGTCCAATGTAACATGTCCGATGTACAACTTGACTAGTCAAAACGTCCTATGTGATTTTTGCTATATTGTAGCTTGAAATTCAAATCAAAATTGTGATTTTACCGTTTCTACTGAATTTTCAACGTTATTATTCACTGACTACATTAAAAATAGTATTGCAAAATGTATTGTTTCTAAACAGTTAAAATAATAATCTGTCGAACTCCAACTTTGATTTGATTTCAAAATGGTGGATATGTTACATTGGTCTATTTGAAAAGTGACGCGAGATTTCTTTCTTTTCTTTCGCATGTTTCATTTGGCACACGGTAATTCCAAGACATTGATTTAAACTCATTAAATTACACTGATTCATTACAGTGATTTTGTAAACTCCCTGTTTGAAAATATTTTTCAATGATCTACGTAATCCACGCGCTTTTTCAGTGGTCTTATCGCACCAAAGTACATATACAGGGTGTCGACTCAAAGTCGAAAATAAAATTCCCTGACTTTCCCTGACTTTCCAGTCGGTTTTAAGAAATATTCCAGTCATCAAAACTTCGTTATTTTAACCTAAGAAGCTACAACGTGATGTGCTTTATTATACCGTAGTGTAAATTAAGATTAGTTTAAAATGAGCAGCAGGGTAAGCTTTCGAAGATATCAAGAATAGCATACTCATGGCACGTACAACAGAACTTGATACTAATAAAATTTTTACAAAACATATGACCGACTATCTACGAAGGATGTGAATATGCCTAGGGCTATAAATACATATTACAATATAATAATGAATAACTACTGCTCACAACTAGGCTCACTATTAATTACTAAGTAATAATATGAATATTTAATCAATGTCACCAAGCTCTCAATTTGTGTTCATAATTTCACAGCCAAATAAAAATCAACCCGTAGACGATCCTTTCTCTTAACATATAAATTATTGTAAAATAGTAGAGCAGTGATTATTCTTGCTTTGGCAACCGAACCTGAGGATGCACTGCTCATGCATTAGTCAGTTTCGTACTCTCTGGAACTCC